GAAACCTTTAGACCTATGTGTGGGTGTGCGTAAAGACAGACAGGGAGGATAAGGGTGAACTGGGCGGTCTGGATATGTGTGCGAAGCAACGGGTCCTCTCGATGGAGTGTCTGCAGCACAGCGAAGCAGTGCACCGCTAGTAACGTCTTAGCGTTTCTTTTTTTTTTGTTGTAATTTCCCAATCAAGACGAGGGACATGCCATCCATGCTTCTTGATAACAGTCTCTCTACGGTTCATCGGGTATCATCGCGGCCACGGCCTCGTTGTCATCGCATCACTGTACTCTGTGCTATATAGTAGTTGACACAGAGGTACATAGACCCTCCATACAAATACATAGCTGAAATATTATGATATACGTTGTTATTGTCTGAGGTGATCGGTGCAATGGCTGCGTGTACTGTGACATCAAACGAATCGACAGTGGCGTGTGTTCTTGAATTTTGATTCAACATATCGCACCATAATATTGTTGCGCGTATGTCATGATTAAGCTCTTCAATTGGATTTCGGCTTATCGATTAGTCACAAAACGCGGTAGGGTTAATCGCGAGAAGATTCTCCCTTTCATTTTCTAGAGAGAGAAAAGTCATTCGTGGCGAGGAATTGTCTCCTCGTTGAAGCCAACAAATAGCTATCACTAAGAAAGACCCTGTCTAGCGTTTCCGGCTGACAAGCAGGGGGCTGTCATGCAATGTCCACGGTTGGTTGAGGACGTTCTAGATGAAACTCTTCAAGAGAGGGAAGCAAATCGATGTGGTTTACGACCTCGGTTTCTCGGTGTCTCAGGATCAGCAGAAGGGCAACCATCCCACGGCTACGAAGACAGCTCAGACAAGCACATAGCAGACACATACAGATACGCGCACCCTCAAATTCAGCTAGGAATCGGGAAGCCAAGGAGGACCCTTTGGCGATTCGTGGATAGAGTCGCCTCGAAACGCTGAACGACCCCACGACTTGAGAGTTAGTATTTGGCTGTGTGAGCCAGGCTCTCTAGCAAGTCGGCAGTGAAGAATACGAGAGCGGACGGCTGTTAGGGTAGTCCGGGGAGTTGACTATATTTATGTGTCCATACGTCTACGAAGCGTGCGGTTGGAGGTCTGCTCCCCTTCGGCGCGATCTTCAGACGAGGGCCATTGAGGAGAGTGAACCTCTGTGTGGCTTTACGTTCCTTTGGTTGGTTCGAAGACACCAAGTGTCTGAGGTAATATTTGACCACCTGCATCGGAAGCAACCCCTCGAAACCACTTGGTGATGCGGATGCTCTGATAACAATCGTTGTACACCGAGTTCGATCCAGGCTAGCCGGTTGTTAAGCTCGCGAGAAGATGCAAAAGGTTCCATTGCTGAACGTAAACATTCATCGACTCACGTGCGTTTCGCAGGATATAGCCTCTCTGGAGCAGTCGACATCTGAACTTCCTATCTATCGGAGTACTTCTGTCCTGCTAGAAGCGACCACTTGCTATTCTCCCATAGGTCTCTATATAACAAGTTCCGTAAAAGTTCATCACAGGACATTTGAATACATCGTGATTAGGGTACCAAAATATCGTTCTGCAATATTGTTATGTGAGGTAAATGCTAGCAAGTATCAAGGAAAAATCAATGTAAATTTTTCTATGTATGATATATTGTTTATATCATATATATATATATATATATATATAAATCTTATTTCGAGCATTTGATATTTTAAAAATTAATATTTAGACGAGCTCCAAATACCACGGCCGGCGGAATGTAGAATTTTTATTGTTTACTAAATTCGTGCTAATTAATTATTATATGATGACACACGTGTAGCGAGATATAAATGCTTTCACCATTTAAATACAGGTACCCTATATTTAGCGTACTAGTAGTATCCTGACCTAATGAAAAGAATAACCGAAGCTCGGTTTCAAAAAGAAAGTTTTACTATATTTGCGGCGCCTATGATGCCGAGCCTCACAGGCGCGCCAAACTTCGCGCTCAGGCACTGCGGATCCGTATGCGACTTTATCTTTACTCAGATCTCCGTCCCCTTTGCTGTAATTTTAATATATATTAGAAAAAGGAAAAGGTCACGGAGATTTGGCAGCAGTAACGTTCCTCGCCTTCAGTAAAAGATGACCATACCTGATCTGTAGGGGATACGGTACGGGATCAAAGGGATACGGCAGAGCTTTGAGTTGGCTTGATTTCAACGTTAGCTATGGCGATGCGCGTTTATAAGAGAATTAGAAAGTGTGAGGAAGTCGGACCTTACTACATTAACACAGTTACTGGTAACGAAGCCGACACCAGCTCTAATAAGTACCTGAGATTTCCATCGATATACAGGGAACCTTCCTCCCCGGCCAGCCGGCACTCTCTCCTACCCAATATTGTGCCTCTCTTAGTCGTGTCGTGTATGGTAGGTAAATTGTGAAAGAGAGGCTGACTTTACCGCATTCTAGTAATGGATCTCTGATATTTCCTCGACTAAGGATCAGCATCATGAAGCATTTAATAATTTCGGGTAACATCTACTTAACCCAGCAATAAGCTCCGTTTCAATCGGTGTAGCACATCAACACAGCGTTAACAACACTGGCTACTGTAATGGTATCTCATTGATTTCTGAGTGCTATTTTTCCAATTGCTCTAGGACATACTTGGCCTAGCAAAGGCGACTGAGGAGTCTAATTGAAAATGCATTTGTACACTATCACAATCCGGCGTATGTTACGACAGTGATTATTGATGTGTTCTAAATATGTTAAGTATTATTTGTTGCCTTTGTGGTATTACCGTCTAGTAGTAGTTCCGGGATCATCGAGGTGGAAAACGAATCCCACGAGAAGACGGTTGTTTCAAAGAGACGTTCATATTGTTGATAAACGATTCAAAATATGTCATCCTCTTGCTATTACTATTGCCTTCTATCTGAGTTTGCTCAAACGACACACATTTGTTATTTCTATTTAGCTATCGGTCTACTCACGTACAAATTTTTGGGATCTCTTCCACGTAGTTATGCGCACCCGTGTTCAATACTGATTATCTCCCTGACGACTAGACAATCACTCCACATAATCGATGGATTTACGATGTGGGGTTAACCTTACGTCCTTTTCGCCTGACGGATGACGCGGTTATGGGGCAATGTTACCGTTGTCTGCTTAAGGCATCCTGAAGCTCGCGACTAGCAATAATCTCCGTTAATAGGACTCTATACTTCTTTCGCTTCATTGATAGTCTATTTCCTTAGTAGCGGAAGGCCCTACCTAACTTTGGGAAAGGTCATTTTCGCGACGTTGCCACCAGCCGTAGTGGTATGACTTTGTGACTGAGTATCTTGGTCGGCACAGCTGAGCATGCTAGGCTCTGCAGAGGTTATCAGGGGATGCTAAGACACTTATACACACCGGGGCTCAAGCCATCCTTGACACGACGGCCAACACACTTTGGCGTTATGCTATGCCAGAGGCCGACAGCGAAGGTAAGATGGCGTTGCGGCAACGCCAACAGGGCATGGCATCGTAGCTCGGCGCAGCGTCATCCCTGCCAGGACAAGAGTGCGCGGAGCATAGAAGGATTACTATACGTCAGCCGGCTCGTGATGGGTGTGCGGTACAGGTCTTGGGTTCTGGCTGCGAGGCGAAACGAAGCCGTGGGAAGCAAAGGCTAAAAAGGGGGCGCCGATGCTGCGGAATCTGAGGAAGAAGGGCGTTGTCTACAGCGTGTAAGGAACAGACGAGAAAGAAAAAGGGAATGGGCGAACGAGGGCCGTACGCTGTATGGAATAGCAAGAGACGGGGAACAAGAGTAGATGCAGACACAGGGAAGAAAGTCGAACGAGACTCCGGCGAAGTGCGTAGGCGACATGGGGGTTTGTAGTCGTTGTGAAGATGCTACTCTTTGCTATGCGCAACGACATTAGCGTTAGCAAAGTGACACATCTCCCGTGGAGTTGTGCGTAAGGCTCGCTCGTCAGCGGATGTGCACATAGAGAATTCATAGTGAAGCTGGAACAACGTGACTGAATATTATTTGATGTACTCCGGATTATGTGATGAGTGGATGCATGAATTTAATATCGGTACTAATAAAAACACTTGCATCGCATGTTTACAAAGCACTATGGCAGTCTGTAGACGAACGTGCCAATATTTGTTCGTTGCCGGTATCATCAAGTGATCAGATATGTTACTGGCCATAAAAAATTAAAGCTAGAATTGTCAATACTATCTGATTTTAGCCTTAAAGTTGCATGCTAGAGCTGTCTATACAACTCCTTAATTAACGCGATATGCCGGTAGTAGAGCGCCCCGGCAAAGATGCCAACATCGGGATAATCAGGCAGCCGAAAGGGATCTTGGAGTATCGCGGGGGAAACGCGCCGGCCCGAAGGTATTATTAAGGAAGGTAAAACAGGACAACACGAAAGTAGCAAATAGTCGCTCGGGCATCGGTGACATGTCTGCCTACAGCAGAACGACAGCTCGTGCCAAGTGGAGGGTGCACTGCGGTGAGGAATGGGTTATAGACTAACACGTGGAAAATTCCAAGAGTATATTACTGCATTTTAATTACCCTCGAGGGGCTTGTCACTTACAGCAACTACATAGCTGTTTGAAGAATTTGAAGAAGTACTAAAAACGCGAAAAAAGGTCATTCTTCATCAGCGATAGAGCTTTCCAATCGAGTAAATGATAAAATTTGTTTTAATATATGAATTGATAACGTAAGACAAAAGTGTGTTGGCTGGTTAAATGGCTGTTTCTATCGAAAGTCATTTGTGCACCAGAAAGCATCACAAACTTTTAACTTCAACATGAAGATTATTTCGATAATTTCTTTTACAGCCTAAATTCCTATTTTAACCTAGTTTTTCGTTTAAACGAATTCGTGATGCGTTTATTCATACCTAAAGCTATAAACATATAATATTGTCAGTCATTCAGCGGTAACTACAATAGTGACTATTATAATGAACTAGCTGACGGCTACGATGCGCTTTATTTTCCAGGTGCTCGGAGTCTCCAACGTCAACCTTCATTTGCTGAGCCCATTTCGAACGTGACCGTTGCAGCTGGGAGAACGGTCACGTTGTCCTGTGTAGTCGACAATCTGGGAACTTACAAGGTAAAACGAAGTAAACTATATCACAGTGTCTCTATTGAAAAGAAGCCAGACATTCTGTTAGAAATCGTTGCACTTATTTTCCGGTTGCTGCTTCGGCACAACGCGATCGTATCTATCCCGCTTAATAGCCATTTGCGGGATAAGGGCCATAAGTACCTAAACTTGAACATGCTAATGTCCAATGTACAGTATTATAAATTCACTCAAAGCGTGACAGCAAACACATGCCAGTTATAATCGCGCAAAAATACATTAAAAATAACTACACAGGACCCGGCTATCTGGAATAAATTGCTTGTTTAAATTTTCGCGCCACCCGATGAGACCCTGCGATAGTCATTTATCTTGACGAAAAGCGTAAGGTCTTTCTCACACGGAAGTAAAATTTTATTATAACCTGATGCTAGCTCGAGTTTTTCACTAAAATTAAGTAAGCTTGTGTATTTTGTGCGTTTTTTTCACATAAGCGTGCATTAGGTAAAGTAAACTCAATTACTCGGGCACTCTGAGAATCTTGCAGAATGTTTACGGGAACCAAAAGCTCGGTAAAGATCAAGTAAACAGGCATGTGATAGGAGTCCATCAAGAACGATCTTTGTTGTGGAGGGCTTATTATAGCGATTACGGGCGAGATCATGGAAAGGACGAGATAACCCGTGCTAGCCGACTTCAGAATCACCATACAATAGCCAGCAGAAACGATAGAGATTTCAATTGATTAAGGCCAGTCGATTTTGAAGAACTATTTAGGCGTCAGGCGACTTACTCAAAGGCACAACCTAAGCGAGATGATTATTATCAATCTGAAACAAATACCTCAGTAGTTTTAAAGCGGAGTGGTATTATTAATGGTTACTATGAATGACGACATTTTGAGAATGCTTTCATATTCTCTGTCTAACAGCAGTTGCTTCTTAAGGCCTACATGTTCGTTTTTATCTGTTGTTGCTGTTACTATTCCGTGGCGTCTGTTTCATCGCGCCAAACTTGAAACGTATAACCAAGTATAATACATGCAAGGCCAGGATATTTCGGAAGATTCCTCTTCGCCCTTAAGCTGTGCCTGAATCAGCTTGTTATAGATCGAATTGTTGAAGCAAGAAAGAATATTCGGCAAACTTAGCTATCACCTCGTACGCTCCTCTCTCTATATCTGCTGTTGATGCTTATGCGCCACCACCGTCCATCTTTATATTTAGCAGGGATAGTTTAACCGCGCTTGCTGGCTGGTTCATGCTTGCCGCTGATACGTTCATCTTTGCTACGTTTCACTGTGTTCGTTTGGCAGCTCGTTCGCCCGTTTTTCGCTCTACTCCGGCAACGAGCGTCACGGTACTTGATGTGTTTTTGCTGAGGTTCTTATAGCTTTTGTCTTCTCAGAAATTCATACCCTATTCAATCGAGCGTCGGCGGCGATTCTTGCGTAGTTTGTTATGGCCAAAGTGGTCGTGTCGACAAAGGCCGTGGCTGTATTGAGCCCCTGATCCGCCTTACGGCCACTAACGCTACGACTGCTATAGAGGAAAACCCACGTGGAAGATATAGAGGAATCCAGGATCTGGATGGAAAGCTAGAGTAAAGTTGCACTGGCTGATCTGCCTACTATGCTATTGAGCAAGACTTCTATCTATAATACATGTAGATAGAATGTGTGACTATATAGGCTTCGGGTTTTTTCAGAAACATTTAGATAAGGATCCGACGGCCCAAATGACGTTGAATACAGTATACAAATTACACGTGCACATAAGGGATGTTGTTTGGCCTGTTTGGCAAATTGAGCCTATGTTTATAAAGTATTGAAATTATTTTCTATTTATATTTAGTATGATTGCAGTACAGAACTATATATACTGTAAAACAGAACGTTGTTGCAGTACAATATAATCGTGCACACTTATTTTAAGCAGCTGAAGTAAGTAAGGACTGACGTGATTTTGAATTCAAGTCAATTTATTCGTCTACTAAAACTTCTACCAGCGCTGTGAGGGATTACAGGCTTGGAATCAGGTGAGGCTTCGTAACAAGGCACTATACGTACGTGGTTCTCGGGAAACCTTCTTCGGCAAAATGTCCCTGCAAGCAGTTGCTAAGCGACTGTAAAAGAAACTCTTGTTTAAGAAGGCAGTTGTAACGGGTTTATGTAGACGGAGTCACGTAAACGTATCATGCTGATACAGTGGAATTTTAAGAACATGTGTGAGACAAAGTCGTGCGATGCGGTGTGCTTAATGTGGTTCCACGATGAAGTTTCGAAAACATGACTTGATTTGAAATTGACGGTAGATACACTTCGATCCTACAGTAGACATTCGAGAAATAATCAAGAAAGCACCTTGTAGAGTTCTTATACTCTCCACAGGACTACCACAGTAGAGCTTCATACCCAACAAGCTATTGAGCCAATGCTACATCGACGGTCCTTATAACAAGCAATTGAGAGTCAACTATAAAAATGTATCAATACCAAACCTAACCTATGAAATTTTCAGTGATTTTACTTGATCATTTTCAGTACAGATATCGATGCTGAATCGGCAGTATATATCTGCCCTTTTGTAATTGTATATATATACTTAATGTTTTCTTCGGTAAGAGTATATTTTCGGCGTATATTTTTTGTAAGAGTATGCGCGATCGATATAAAGCTGTTACAAGCATTGATACCGAGATGGACTGCTTTCTGTTACAAGCCATTTTTCTTCAAAATGGACAACAGATGTCGACATCTTTTACGATCCAGTCTCTATACTATCTATATGCAAATATAACTATAATTTGAGATCTGCATCCAAAATTGATGATTAAGAGGTTGCTACTTAAGTTACTATGTACTAACACGATGTTCTTCCTTTTAAACGATTGCCTTTTAAATATCAATATGGCGGGAAAAAATTGGGTTTTTTTCTATTCGCGAAAAAGATGTGATTTACCCAGTCTAAATGCAATTCTGTTTAGCATAATATAGACATCCTACGCTAGATCGATTACACGGATTCTATTGATTTGTATCCTTCCTGCCAAAGGTCGTCATGCCAATGATTTATTCCCGTGGAACGATTCCCCTCCAATCAACGAAATGTTGCATCCGTAAAAGTACGGTTGATCTTGCTGTTTCTCAAAGCAAAATGTGTATAAGGACTGTAAATTGTATAAAGCATTATTATTTTGTTATTATTACTCTTACATTAAATTTTATCTAAATTTCCTTCTTGCTAGATACATGACTCCGAGCGTGTAAGACAAATGGTATTATATCGCTGTCGAATACAACACTGTTCTCTTCTGTCTCTGTTTCCTTACTGAGCTACATATATATATCGTTGGTCTTGTATAGTCATCTTTCAGCTAGAAGTATTTGACAGATATTCTTCAAACGAATAATTAACATTCTCATGGAAAGCCTAACTCGATTTGTCCGCTGCCATTTGTAAATAGAATTATATAATCAAGTCATATTCTTTTGTGCCAATATTATCTTCCTTGCTTGAACCGCTATACACTTACACCGCCAATCTCGCGATCTGTTCGTAGCTCAATCTGTTCGTAAAAGCGCCTGACGCGCCTCTACCTGTCACCCATTCATCACAGTCGATCGTGACGGACTGCGAGACGGTCGTGCCATATCGGACCGGTTTACAAAAGTCTGGAAGTGTTCCAGAAGGAGAGGAAAGTAGCGGGACCTATTATTTATCATTGCAATTTGCTGCTAGGTGAAATCATTCGGGTCCGTAAGGGGCGATATTACGGCCTTTTTAGGTGCGTACCGCGACGCTGTCGGACGAGCGTACGTGTCTCATTAACTGTTTGATTCGAGTGACTGGCCACACGCCTAGATAAACGTAGTGTACGCTAACGGCGGGTATGAACTAAACAAAAAAAAACTAAGCGAGCGGGCACTCCGAAGCGAGAAAGAGACGCTCGAAAAACACTACTATATAACGCGCGATCGACGTCTCAGCGAGATCTTGGTTCGCTTTAAACGCCCGAAATAGTCATGGCGTATCGGTGGACGATACAAGATAGACTCATGTTTGAGCGGTCTATAGGTCTATGAGAGATTTTGAAATGTCGGTGCTGCGGGTTTAGATTTATAGGATAGAATAACGTAGTGAGACAATCTGCGTTGTAAAACACAAATGCAATAACAACGGCGGCAGCAAGGCGGGGAACAATGTAGGCTTTATCATCATTAGGCTATGATTTATTTAGTCGTTTGCGAACGCTTAAACTAAGATTCACAGTATATTAAAAAAATTCGCAAAGCTAAATTGGCGTCACTGTATGTTTTAACGGAGCCATAGCTGACCTTGTCATATATTGACATATGCTCATTGCATATGGTCTTGCATGTACCACATGCGCGATTATATACAGTAATTATGTACGAGTTAAACTTCATTACGTTCAACAGTATTCTCGAATGTCAAATAAGAAGGTCTTTAGATGTGTATTTATTTACATAGAGCTGAAATCAGCAAGCGAAGGAACTACACTGATCAACTGAGGGCTGAAAACTTGGCGCAACATACATGCCCAATTGCAACATGTGCTTCACTTCGAATAGACATGTTTAGCCTGTCAAGTAGGCCTTTCGTGATTTGTATTCTAGTTCATCAACGCTGATATCACCGGAACTTGATTAGAAAAGGTCCTGCGGCCACTTTTTCAGTACAATTAATTCGGCATAGCCTGCGTTTAATAATAGGCAAACTACATTATAGTTTGCCCGCTTTCAAAATCGTACGATACGCTTGTACTATTCTGGAATCTCTACCGTAATGCTCAGGCATGACAGTCCAGTGTACAATGTGTAATTTTTGAAAAAACTGCCATATTCGGTGGGCAAACGTTTCAGCCATTACCATTTGTACGCATATCGCTTCGATATTCAAAACGGACAAGTCCGCGTCCCCGTTTCCTATATCGACAGCTTTCTTTTTCTCGCTTATTTTAGATCCTCATTCTCTATTTTTCCATTGCGGTTCCCGTACTACTCC